AAGCCACATCAATGCTGGTCCGGTGATACCAACAGTCTTCTCAAGTCGAGACAGAAGGATACTGTGGTCTATTGTGGTCTATCACTTCTACCCACCATCATCAAGCCGGGCGACTTCATTGTCAGTCTGGACCTGCAAGATGCTTATCTCCACGTGCAGATATTTCATGGTCATCGCAAGTTTCTTCGATTCATTTACGAGGACATCCACTATCAGTGGCGTGTCCTCCCATTTGGAATTTCCACGGCCCTATGGTTATTCACACGGGTCACGAAGCCAATCACTCCGTTTCTCCATCACAAAGGAAGCCTACATAGATGACTGCATTCAGGCACAGAGAGATCAGCGGATCCTGCTTCTCTACATGCAGTTCGCCATCAAGCTACTTTGTCAATTAGGCTGGCTTGTCAATCTAAAGAAATCGGAACTGGTTTCCAGTTCATCAGTGTTTCGACACCAATCTCAGCAAACTGTTTGTTCCCAGGGACCGGTTTCTCAAATTTCAATGTCTGGTTCCCTTAGCCCTGATGCAACCCAGAGCTTTACATCCGAGTCAGGAGCTTCTGTGTCTACTGACATCGGCCCAAGTGCTCACTCTCAGCAGAGGCTTTGGCCGTTACAACAGTTTGTTTGTCTGCACATCAGAGTCGGCGACCCCCGCGTGCTGATCTCGCTACTCACGGAGCTCCATCCGTCAATGGTGGTTGGTAGAATCGAATGTCTGCGGAGGAGTCTCTTTAAGGCTGTTTGCTCCAGTACATCACCTGTTCGTAGACGCCTCTCTACACGGGTGGGGAGCTCACCTGCTAGGTCTTCAAGTGACAGGGCTGTGGTCTCCCATAGATCAAGACTGTCACATCAACGTGTTGGAGTTCAGGGCAGTAATACTGGCAATAACTCGTTGGGAGCATCGTCTTCAGTCAACCAATCTACTGGTTCGTTCAGACAATGCCACGGTGGTTTGATACATCAACCAGATGGGATCCACAGGTTCTTCACAGCTACTTCACAGGGCACAGCAGTTCTTCAGCCTCGTAAATATCACAGTCAGGGCAAATCACATCCCAGGTGTACCGAACGTCATTGCAGATTCGCCGTCCCGATCAGCTTGGCCATCCCCGACAGAGTGTGGAAGTTGCATCCTCAGATCTTCAACACTCACTGCTTCTAGATTTCAAGCCCGGCAGTGGACCTCTTTGCAACCTGGTTCAACACTCAGCTTCCGAAGTTTGTGTCTCCAATACCGGATCTGGCATGGAAACACGACGCACTGGTGATCCCTTGGGAGGGCCTTAACACATGTCTTTCCACCTCTGGCGTTACTCCCGCGAGTTCTACTCAAACTACGAAAGACTCAGGAGATAAAACTTCTTTTGGTCGCGCCCTACTGGCCAGCTAGAAGTTGTTGACCTACAAGAGCTTGGCGATCCAAACCCAGTACGTCTTCCTGATCGAAACGACATCCTGATTCACCCTCACTCAGATCAACTCCATTGGTCGCCCCAGACACTTGATCTACACACCTGGCGCATCTGCCTAAATCCTTAGTTGCTTAGGGGTATTCGTATACAGCCCATCATACTTTTACAAGATCACTCTATGATGATAAGTGGAAGAACTTTAGAGTTTATTGCAAGGTGAAGGGAATGACTTCACTTGTACAGCATCACTGCAGATAGTTGCTGAATACTTACAGCATCTAGGTTCTTCCAAGAAGTTGAAGGGCTCCACATTGTCCACGTATCTAGCTGCCCTCAATACAGTAATAGCCACAGCCTCGGGTGTTAAAGTCTCTACTGTCCCTGACCTCCAGTCTCTACTATGCTCATATAAGGTTGCTGACCAGTCTCGGAAATTCCAGTCTCCAGACTGGAATCTTTTGGTCGTCCTCAGGCATCCCGCCTCAGATGAATATGAACCTTTGGCAGATAAGGATTTCAAGCATATCACCTTCAAGACATTTTCCTTATGGCTCTTGCAACCGCAGCATGACTCGGAGCTTCATGCTCTCATTGTTAACTGGGCGCGTTTTGAGAGGAAAGGCATGTCAGAGTCTTCCTTGGCTTAAAGTGGGGCATTTTTGCCAAGAATCAGTTGCCAGGACAGCCGGGCAGACTCTTCGTCATTCCGTCTCTGTCCACGATCTCGGGGCCTGACGACACTGAGGATCTCTCCCTATGCCCTGTCAGGGCTTTACGGGTGCATCTTGCTGTATCTTAAGACCGTTGTAGTCTACACAAGGGACTTTTCATCCCATTGCCTACACCTTCATCAGCAGAAGTCTCGCGTACAACCCTGGCGTTTTGGATGAGGTCCACCATCCTACGCGCCTATGCCTACACTGACCTTCCACCGCCTACTGCTGCCAACCCTCATGAAACAGGGGCCCTGACTTCAACGATGGCGCTCCACAGCAACTGTTCTCTTAACACCATCATTGAGGGCTGCTTCTGGAAGTCGGACACGGTCTTCGCCTCTCACTATCTCAGAGATCTCTGCGTCACTGATGTGGAGGGTCTACATAGGTTTGGTCCGTTGGTGCTAGAGCAGCAGATTTCGTTGCCCCGTAACTGCAGATGAAGGGGCAGTCCTGCTTCAAGTCGGTCTTGCTACCTTGTACTTCAGTAAAAGATATCAAAGTTATCTTTCTTGTTGGTTCTACTTTACTTGGGCATAGATCATCTCACCTGGCATAACTGGGGCATGTTTGTACGGTCATATCTATCTCTTTATAGACTGTGAGGACAGTCTTGTACTTCATGCAGAGGGGTCACCATTCCACTTACTGACCTCTACTCTCTGAGCAAATACATCTGTGAAGTGTTGATTTCCAAATACCTACGGTGGTTTCGAAGCACTCTGCTCCTAAGTTCCTTTCCCATCTTGGAATGATTGAATGGTACTGAACATTAAACAAGTTGAGCACCGGTCTGTATTCCCTTTCACCGCCTTCCAGCTTGTGTCTGTGGGGGATGTTTTCGAAGCAGGGGCTGTCTAGATTAAGGTCTTAGACTTTAATTCACAGGGGGGGGGGTCTTCTGAGCCAAACTGTGTCCTTTCGTCTTCAACAAAAGTTCCGGCTGGAAACCACATTGATTCGGGACCACCCACTCCCTAGAGTGTTTGTGCTGTGTAAGCCAAGGGGTTTATCAATGACTGACTGACTGAGTTTAGTTTTACGCCGCTTTTAGCAATATTCCAGCAATATCACGGCGGGGGACACCAGAAATGGGCTTAACACAGTTTATCAATGAGAAGCAACCCATCATGAAGTATTGGAGTATAGCATGTCGCGAGTTGGTGCTTTCTCCAGGCCTCCTTGTTTAATGTGACTTTCACGGTTGTTATACGTTAGACACAGGGTAATCTGCATCCCACCGTCCAACAATGGGACAAATGCATACCTTGAGATAGGATAAGTTAAAACATTTGAAATTTTAACTATAAATTGTATATTCATATATTTATCTCACGCGATGGATTCCCACCCGAACTTCCCTAAATCACAGATTACTTGGGGCTCCAAGACGAGAATGACAGTAGTGGGATGTCATGTGACCGTCCTTGGCACTTTGCATGCTTTACAGAGATTTGAAGGGTTGAAAATAATTTTAAGAATGACAAACTGATTACCTAAGTCATTAAAATAGGAGTTTGTATGCGTGGTAAAATGGAAATTCACCTAATTATTACGAACTAATTTTGTTTCAAAATCAGTCAATGTGATTTTTCAATGTGTAAATTCTATGATTTTTGCAGGCTTGAGCATGTAGAACACGATAATAGAAAATGATTTACATCATTTTAGGACCGTTCATAATTTATTTCTAGGGGGGGATGATGATAAAAAGAAAATGAAAAAAATAATTTATTTTTTTTTGGGGGTCCACCCATTTTGTTCTGGCGAGCTGGGGAAACCATCAATTTTGTACACACATACTAGGAGGGACCATCGATTTTGAACATAAAAATATGTATAAAATTATGCTTAAATATTATGGGGAGGGGAGGGGGGGGGGGGTGTTTAATTGATTTTGTACATAAATTTTAGTGGGGTCATTCACTGTTTGCAAAGTTCCATTTAATAATGTATTAAGTATTTTGTTATCAGTATAGACACGGTAGAACGTCAGAACGTCAATGAATATCATCTGAGTTCATAGGGATGCATTTGCTAAAATGATAATGTGACATGGATATACCAACCCTGTAAGAGTTCAAGTTTGCACGTCTGACTTGCAGCACATCCCCCTGATCTCCACAAGAAGTGAAATCGATGTGCCAGGTGAGGGACTCACAGTGACTGATCTCAAACACGGTCCTTCCTGCTCGGACTGCCACGCCACATGTACAGAAGGGACCATTATCCACTTCCGTGCCACAGTCTTCAGTTTGTATTTGTACCTGGATGAAAAAACAACAACATTCATAGAATTGTTTGTTTGTTATTTAACACAATATTCTACCTATACGGTAGCCATCTGTAAATAATCAAATACAGAATTGACAATCCAGTCATCAACAGCATGATCACTGAGTTTAGTTTCATGCCCTTTTAGCAATATTCCAGCAATATCACGGCGGGGAACACCAGAAATGGGCTTCACACATTGTACCCATGTGAGGAAACAAACCCAGGTCTTTGGCGTGAGGAGTGAACGCCGTAGCCACTAGGTTACCCTACCATCTTTTCAACAGCATGAGCATCAATCTCCGTAATTGGTATACAATAGCATGTGTCAACCACGTAAGCAGTCTGACCACCCGATCCCGTTATCGCCTCTTACGACAAGCATGGATTGCTAAAGATCGATTCTAACCCGGAACTTTACGGATCAATTGAACCATATCCAAGGTAAGGAAGTAATGTGTGTAGTTATGCACCCTTCATTTAATATTTAGGTTTTATGACTTTTGTAAGCGACAGTTACAAGCAAATGAACTTTATTTACAGTTACCTAAAACAGTAGTTGTCAAACAGAATATGATTTATGTTTAAAGTACCTCAGTGTTCTTGAAGTCTGTGTATAATGTGTAAACATCTGAGTCGTTAAGGTAAAACCTCCTGCAAAATCAAACACATGTATGACACAAACATTCTTGACTCTATGAATTCAGTAGTTTTCCATGAAAATCAAGTGTCATTAGGAAAGCATTAGAGATCGTTTTACTCTGTGAAACATGTAGGAGGAATATTACATTTGACGACTCAGTGAGCATTTGTTTTAATTTCAAAAAGGTTTTTGGTAATGTCGGCTGAAGATGTGTTTAGTACACTGTATCTGCGTAAAGACATTACATTATGTTTTTCAATACTTACCTGTTATTAAATGTTCCAATATGAGGGTCATTTCTTGAGAAACATCGTTTACTTTGAAACAGAGTTGTATTTTTAACCAGTTGGAACTGTTGCAAAAGAAATTAATATTTATTGGGTTTTCGTCCAGTATATATTGTAAATTGACCATGCAAAAACAACACAATTGTGTTCAACAGATTATGTATTCAAGATTAAAAAATTAAAGCATATAGATTTTGACGCTGACATATATGTCTTTCATTGAGTGCTGTCAACAACATGACGTGGATGTTTTGCTTTTGGATAACACCTCTAAACTCCATTCAAAGATTAACCTGAATTCGTCAGAAAATATAAAACATATTTGCTATCAGCATATCCCTTTGTCTCACACTAGCACAAATAAGACGCTTTACTTCAGTTGTAGAACTAGAGCCTATTTTGAAAACAATTTCCAATTACAATTTGGAAAATACATCTGTGACTTTCATCATAATAAGTAGCACTCCATTGGAGATTTTCCTTTCTAATGCAGAATTCATGGAATGAGTAAGTAAGTTTAGTGTTACGCCGCACTCAGCAATATTCCATCTATATGGCGGCGGTCTGTAAATAATCGAGTCTGGACCAGTCAATCCAGTGATCAACAGCATGAGCATCGGTCTGGAAAAAACTACCAAAGATAACATAAATTGGCTCAATACCTAAGATAAATCACCAGTGACAGGTGAATCTTAAATCTAACTTTCCGAAGCAATATTAACTGATGCATTGGACATGTGGCAGAATTTGTAGAAACTTTTAAGATGCAAAGTGATTGGTTAAAGGCAGGTATTTACAGTTCAGATGGCTATAATACGTAACCATGACTGACTCTACGGAATATCACTATTACATGTAGTCTACTCACCGTAACAACTCCAATTTCATAGTCAGTCCAGAAAGGAGATAATGTGTATGAGTTGCTGGGTGTTTTTAACTTCAGATGTGTTATTGCAGTCTCCTCCCCATATGAAGGTGTAATTTTGCCAACGACAGTCACCGATGTTATTCGCCTTCTTTGAGTTGAATTTATTGGGGTAATAGAGCATGAGTTTTCAATTACCGAAGCAAGCATTTTATCTCCTGTGTTTTCCACTCTCACCACATTGATGTGAAAGTCACATCCGAGTTTCAAGCCCTTGATAATAGTGCCACAGCCGAAAGGCACAGTAAGTTCTAGATATAATTTACGTCTTTCACCTTCATGCAGTGGTTGTAGATTGTAACCCTGCAAGAAAAGAACTATTCACTAAGTCAATGAACTCTACACAGAATTTAACAAGCCAAAGAAGGATTTAAGTTTTGAAGTGTTATACCAATGACAATAATTCTTAGAATACTACTTCTAAAACTTGATTATCCTTTTCCCTGAAGCTTGTTTCTGATCCACAGGTTTGATTGAATAAAAAAAACATTAACATCCAGTGAGTTGTGTTGTTGTCTGACCTCCTAGCGGCCTTACCAAGCATTATCCCAAGGAGATGGCTAACCTGACAAGCGCGAGAAACTTCATCATTTCCTCGGGTACTTTTAGTGAAAAGCGCTCTGGGGTTCCGAGGAAGGATGGGTCGGAATTCACCTCAAATGATAGAGGTAGTATCCTAAAAATTATTACCATTGTTAATACAATTTCAAAATTCTTATGAATGTTTTCTTTATGATTTGGTGGAGTATAACTATTAACTATTATAATTTAGGGATGCAACGATTCACCCATACCTCAATTCGATTTGATTTTCGATACTGGACCCTAAATTCGATCAGTTTCGATTCGATTCGATTCGTCATACCAGTGAAAGCATCAGATTTCATTTAACTCTCAGAGTCGTCTTTTGTAGCATGACATCCATCGTCAACTTGGCAATGTCTACTAACAACACCTATCATTGATAATTAGCCGTGCGTCAACCAATTACGTTTTTGCTTATTTCACTTATTGAAACTGCTGGACTGGAGTCAAAATTACGTTCTCGCTGTGAGGAAATAACCTACATAGGTATTCAAATATTGAATCGAATTAGTGATAATGGTTGTCGAAAATCAAAACTAAGATTCGATTTTTGATGAATCGAACTGAATCATTGCAGCCCTATTGGAAATGATGACATCACTTCCGTTACTTTGACCTTTGATGTGGCGACTAGGGACATAACTTCCGGTTAACAGTCCTACGGTTGACAGCGTGATGTTCCTAGACTTTAAGTCACAGTCAAGTCGTTTCGCTGGTGGCTAGCGCATTGATTCGGTTTGACAAGTCTCCAAAAGGCTTGAGCATGGCCGAGAGATTCTCCTCCGTGACAAACCGCAAGTCTGGAGTGCTGGTTAAATTTGTTTCTTACCATCCTAACTGGGAGGAAGCTAAGCTACTCCTAGTCGACCAGAGCCTGTGATGGTCTGTAGAACACGAATGTGTAAGTCATGTCCTCATGTAAGTGTTGTTTTGAGTTCAGAGATGTTCCCTCGTGGTTTACAAATGACTCAACATCCATAGTAAATCTGACATGAGGTCATGCACATGAAATACATGCTTACGTCACCTGCCAAACATTACATCAATTGAACCCACACCTGGAATAAGTTGATCAAAACAATCATGAAAAAAAATGACAGTTATATAGGTAACCGTGATTACCATGACATTAAAAATAGGTTCCTGTTAAGATACAGAGAAACATGAAGGTACATGTAAACACTTTTACATTGAAACGAATAACAAAAAAGAAAGTTACAAACAATGCAGTCCCAACAGTTAGGTTGACAGATTATAGGTCTCTATGGAGACAACACAACTCTATGAAGTCTCCAGTTTTTTGTTCAGTCAAAACTGTGGATCAGAAACAATGACTTGGACAGTGCCTTTGATAATATCCACTGATAAAACCATCAAACCAAACTTAAAAACAAACAAGCAATTAATTATTCACATACCCATTACTTTGAAAGCGCTTAAGGTGAGATTGTTTCAACTTGGAAACTGACATGTAACATCCATAGTTATTTCCATAATTAGTTAATTATCTTATAGTTTAGATCCACATACCCTTTCATAAAATCTGTATCTAAGCTTGAATATTCATTACATGCAAACTCCAAAAGTGTATCCTGTAGATGGATCACATTGTGTGCATGCGAGTTAAGGACATGGTCAGCACAAGTACCATTACCTTTGATGTGAGAGTGAGTTTAGTTTTACAGGGCACTCAGCAATATTCCAGCTATATGGCGGCAGTCTGTAAATAATCAAGCATGGACCACACAATCCAGTGATCAACAACAGGGGCATGGATCTACACAACTGGGATACAATGACATGTGTCAACTAACTCAGCGAGTCTGACCACCCGTTTGATGTAAGGCAAAGTTGTATCAAAACTCTGGTAGTTTGGGATATTTTGGGTAAAGTTCTAGTTCCATTGGGGTTGGGTTAACATAACATGGGTTTTAGTGTGTTCTCGGCTTTGCTGGTGTAGCGGCCATAAAATTTCCGAGTCCCGTGCTTGGATTCGAACCACGCAACTTCTGATCCGAAGTCGGATGCCTTGTCCACATGACCAAAGAGGTGCAAGCTGACAAGGTAAGAATGTCATCAGTGGGATGACTCCACGCCCTGCTACACTGGCATGCATAGCCACAACACACCCGGCAGGTTGGTGTGGTCTGCCTGGCAAGTGCAGCACATATACTGCCTGCCTCTAGCCCTATTTATAGAAGTAACTTCACAGTACTCCTTGTCTTTAGTCCACTGGTTCATCAGAGGTGAGGACACTTACTTGAGTCCTGGTATTGCAGACCCTAGTGCAGATAGACTTTAGGGGGAGGGATGTGGGAGGGGAGGAGAGGGTTATTGTTTTATATTCCTTGAACTTTGAACTCAAGCCCTGGAATGCCTTTTTCAGAGGGAATTATCTGAAATCAGAGCCATGTCTTTAAGGGGTTAGGTGTTAGGTTGCTAAGTATATTGGGGAGTTAGGGTGTTATGATTTTAGGTTTTTAGGGGTTTAGGTTAATTAAGTTGACATTTTGTAAATATATTATTGAATTTCCCTTTTCTCTGTTTTTTTACCGACAATGACATCTTATTTATAGAATATATATACACTTGGAGTTGGCTACTTTACCATCATCATAAAAATACACAATGCAAGGTTATGTACCATGCACTATCCAACTTCAGCTGTCACTGGGAAGGGAAGTGTATTACAAAACATTTGCTTAATCAGAACTACAAAGTTATAGTGAAAATGGTGTTTGGTCATTTTGAAACATATCAGTGCAAAATACCTTGAAAAGTGTGCAACATACCTGATGGATTTTCACGCCTACAAACTTTGCTTCTGATAATTCCCCCGCTAGATGTTGTTTCACCAGGATTGTACATAGCCTGAACAGCACATCGTAGCTGTAATTCAAAACACATTTCTTCAAAATTAGAAAGCAAACTGCCAATAAGAAGTTGTCTTAGATTCACAGGACAGTTCCTCATTTCTGAACAACCTAGAGCATCAAGACCCGTTATCTAACTCTTTAAGATAATTGCGGACATGGTCAACATGAGAATACGGCAAAAATCTTACAATTATATGTATTGCAAAAACAGAAGATGCCATCAGAGGATACAAGATGATATCATATACAACGTCAAAACCATTTGTCTCCAGCAGTTCATCCATTATGGGTTGTATGTGATTACATTCAGACAAAACTAAATTATATTTTGAAATAGTTGAATAAAACCAAAAAAGTCTCTTTCCACATTTCCATGACACTTCCGTCAGAATACAGAGTTGCCCCTACTATTCTGACTTTGTGTTCATGAAACACTAGCAAATAATGATGATACCTGGTGTTCACAAACATCCTGCCCTCCAGAAGCACCCTTCATAAACACATGCAAGGCTACTCAAATGTTCATTTTAACATATGGTATAACACAACAAAATTGGGAACTGTATTGAACATAATATTTTCACTGAAGCATCAGATTTTCAATGTCGTCCACATGCCTGCCATAACTCTTTCAGCTTTACTGAGGCTTGCATGTTGTAACCATGACTGCACAACTTCTGTAGAAGTGTCCCATGATGCTGTTTGAAATCGTGGTAAAAAGAGCATGTTTGATTGTATCTCAAAAGTTGTGACATGCAAACACCAATGGCTGGATTTACAATCTTCACAGGCGAAGGAAAGGTATATATGCGCGTTGCTATGTTACATTTGTCAGCATTCCATTACACCCTTAAACAACCAATACTGATGTTAGTTTCGAGTTACGTACATAAAATCCAGCCTTTTCAACCCCTTTCTGCTGCAGCAATTGTTCTGTCAACATCCGGCTGGCAATGTAGTCAAAGTCATCAGAGCTCCACTGTTGGGGTTCGAATGTGTAAATAGGTGCTCCTGCCACATACCAGATGGTCTTGTAGAACAGGTTGTCAGAAGAACGGGTAAAGTTGCAAAAGGACAATAGTTCACTTGAATTATGTTTGTCAAATAATTCAAAACTAATTGTTGGTTTTTCATCAAATTCTGGAGGTGCTGGAACATAAATATAAAACTTATCAATATACTAATACACCTTGAAAACGCAAAAACCCATTTTAGCAATTTCTCACTAAGTTTAATGAAGCAATTTCATTATCACAAAAAAATACAGTGAAAATATAGCCAAATAAAACTATATGCACATCTGGGTTCAAACCCTTTTCGCGTATCTGGCAGATTCCTTGAACCTGTTGGCGTGCATGATTATCATGACATGCACAAGTAAAGCCAGGTTTTGGACGCATAAAAGGCACTATGGTTCAACCGTTTCACTAACAGTCACAAAATGCAGTGAAAAGCAGAGGGAACAAGCTATCGGGATGCTGTTGGTGTGAACATCACAAGTGAGGTCGCCCGCCACTTCGGAGTGAGCGCATCCACCATCCACAGACTCCAAAATCATCATCCGCAAACTGGAAGCGTTTGGACCGTCCCCGACCAGGCCAAACTCCGGTCACAACGGAACATCGAGACTGACACATCCGACGAGTTCAGCTAAGAAACCCCTTTCAGACAGCAGCAAACACAACTTGAAACAACGTAGGACGTAATGGAAGCCAAATCAGTGCCATGACAGTCATTGGACATCTGCGGGCTGTGGGATTAAGGTACCGGAGGCCATATTGAGGAAACGTCATGACGCAACATCATCGAGCCAACAGAATCCTGATTGCACAGCAACATCGCCTCCAACCACTATAAATCTTCAACCAGTTGGTGTTTTCCAATGAGGCCAGGTTATGTGTGTCGTTTGCAGATGGAAGACAACGCATCAACAGGCGGCAACATCAACATGGGCATGTGCAAGTGCCGTTCACGTTCCAGCACAACAATGCCCAACCACACGGCACGCCTTACCAGAGACTTCCTCCACCAAGCAGGTATCCCTGTGTTTCCCTGGCCAGCCGTCTTGCTAGATCTGAACCCGATAAAACACCTGTGGGACGAGCAGGATTCATCAACATCAACGTCAGCCAAACAATGTCGCTGAGTTGACCCTGACTTGAGAACAGGAGTGGCAGAACATATCCTTAGCATCTGTTCGACATTTGTGCGAATCCATGCCACGTCGACTCCGTGCTTGTGTACAGGCTCAGGGAGGTCGCACTCGCTACTGACGGACGTAAGGGTGGTCTGTGTGTGAAGCTTGACGTGCCAGCCATAAGTGGTGGAACTCTTGTAATCATTTTTTGTGAAATTTAAGCACAATGAAATTCTCAACGTAATTTTATTACAATTTTCCTCCACCTGTTGTTGTTTGTTAATTTTTCCTCATTTGAATTTGGTTTTGTGTTTTTGTCAATGTGTGTCAGTGTATTTAAGAATGAAACAGGTATAGAGTAAAATTGAAGATTACATTCCAGCACACTTGGCTACAGCTGAGCGAGCTTTCAGTACTTTTTATCAACTTTGACTATTATTTTTTTAACAAATCATATGGTAGCTTCCCTGAGGGATGGTCGTGAGTATTTTTGAAAGAAATGCATTATTCGTTATTGGAGAAAGTGGTGTGAAATAGATCACAGTCACAAACGTTATGTAAAATTGTAAAATCTTACCTCCAGAGCTTGCCACTGAAAGATGTAAACATACATTTGAAATATGTGAAACTGCTATTTAGCTAATGCAAGTACTTGATGTGATTATCATGAACTTATTAAAAACTTAAAGTTCTGAAAAATTACCATGTGGCTTTCTACACTTTATTGTATATAAATTTTATTAGTAGTATTATTGCAATCAATTTGTGTACTATTTATAGGGATATCGATGGATTGCAATTGCTGAGTCTCTGATTGCAATTAATCGATGGGAGAAACGAAAATCTTATCAATGCATCGATAGTATGTGTGACTATCGATAGTTTAGTAACTGACTTCCGTGATGAATGCGAAAAATACAGGAAGTATCAGATTCGTTAACTTTGATTTAGACTTATCCACCCTGTTACCTCTCAAACAAACTTGACCTGGGTTTCAAGATTTTTGTCAGTTATTAAACTACTTCAGCTTTTTTTTATTTCATCTAAACTATACATTCATTTTGGAAATGACTTCGAATGAGACAATATCATGTTCCAATAGACTATTCCCTCAATGATCACCCCTAACAATTTACCACAAAGATTAGTCATCAGTTGGAAACATAACTGGAATTCTTGATAATGATATCATCCTCAAAGTCGATATTATGCATGAATGTACACAAGAGAAGAATAAGTAAATAGCAAGGGGGTACTGATATGAATGACTGTCATTCCTGTGGTCTGAGGACTCTTTGAATGTTGTAATAATCACTAACTTATACATACCTAAACAATACACAGCCCGGTGGACAGGAGCTTGACGCAAATTGTAAACTTCAAATCCACTGCATGTTCTTCTTTGAATCACGAAGGATTGTGCACATGCTTCAGCGATCGACTGAACACATATCGTCATTGGAGATGTGATGGCTGTCCCTGTATAGTGAAGATTTTGTGGTCATATAATGTTTTAAGGGTACATGTGATACATAAAAAAACATTCCCATTTTTGTCAACATAAGTTCTACAGTTTAGAATCCTCTGAAGAAATCAGAAATCAATGGATGCAAAGCTTTACATAAAATCAAAGATAACATAGAGAATGTGACAATCATCAATTATCCTTTATTTTTGGCTTACAGTAACTATTATGATCACTGTTAGATATTGTAGTGATTATTTCAACTGTAACGGGATGTACCTTGTATGTACATTGGGTACCATCCTCCACATCTGTAGAAGCCAGGGGATGCACCAGACACTAAAGTGTACCTCATGTCCCCATACCACCCTGCAGTTAACTCATTGTCATCAATGCTGGTTTCTCCATCACTTAGTGTGTAGTTAATACCACGGCGCTCAGGATCAGGGAAAGGTCTATATGTTGTGCATGGATCTGAATTTAAGAAAAATCAAAATGATAAATGATGAAAATGTTCACATTCTAAAGAATACAAATATATTGTTCCCCTGCTATAATTTACATACAGTGTATCAGAACAATACGAGATCATTACACACTTTGCAATATATTCTAAAACGCAAGATATAACCAAGAAACTCCTTGAAAACACCATCATGTTAATATTAAAGCACACAACTTTATGGATAACAATTTCTTGTTTATTGCATAGTGTGATGTCTTGGTGTAGATTCTTACAAAGTAAGCAAGCCTGATAACAGTATAAGAGTCTACACAAAAATATCGCACTATGTAATAAAAAAACAATCAACTACTATAGTAGAGCAGAACATGATTAAATCATACATAGTCAATAAAATGTATAATATGTGTGAAGTCCTTTTTGTCTGTTAAGGCTTCAAGATGTATTGACAAGTGTGATAACATCTTCATGCACTGTCTGACACACAACTTCGAAGTCCTCTTATTTGTGCAGGTCTTCCACATCTATTTTGATTCAAGCCATCTGTGAAAGTGTGGTATATGTGAGGATAGAGAATACTTCCATGACATGAAAGCACAGTCAAATCAATGCAGATACCTGGCACTATGAACTGAATGGTGTAAAATGTAGTCAGGTACACTCAAACTTCAGTTTGAATAGAGAAGGATAATTCATGACGGAAGGAATTGATGCCTCCAACCCATATAGTGGGTTTCATCAATGATAAACTTCAAGAAGGTACTAAAGAAACAATATGGTTGGAATATTCTGTGTAAATATCTAGCCTCCTGCAAAGTCCCTATTGGAACAACTGACAACCTACAACTTCAGTCACAGAGGAGGGACCATACAACCAAGCAATGATCTATCAACCAAACTACCACCACCTCCACCTGAAAATAAGTGTAGATCCATGCAAGAGCATGAGCACATATGTTTGACGCATAAAATCAACCCAACCTGACAAAAAGCATTCTCGGAGCACCTTTAGAATACAGCACAACAACTTCTCGTGAGGACGTTCTCTGCCGTAGGTCACGTGTCACTAAGACAAGCAACCAGTTTGTGAGAATCCGTCGGGCGCCAACCCGCGACCTTCGGATTGTTAGCAGTTCGACAGCTAACGACTGAGCTACGTCCACACTGTTTCACAATGTGCAAATTTATCGAGTCATTCTTGTTACGTCACGGAAATGAACGGAAAGAGTCGAATAGGTCACGGATAATTACGAAAGTTACGGGTAGACTTGGTGTCTCGTGATTTTAATATACGAACAATTACCAAATGGCCCCGATGGTATTTGGCACATTCATCCCATTCTGTAATCTACAAGATGCCATGTGGTGTGGAATAAGCCGATATGGCTCGAACTGAAAACGGTGGTTAACGTGAGGCATCAGACGTTGATTTTACAGTGCATGCATGACTGACATGTTTTTATAAAAACCATCGGGTGATTTTGTGACAGAAAAATGTTTGTAGGGATCACAAGTAAGGGTATTGTGGATGACACTTAGGCAGTGTGCGAAATAGTCACTGGCCCACTAGCCCGTGGCTAGTAAAACCCAGTTAGGCCAGTAAATCTCCACAGTCACTGGCCCGACTGGCTTGTGAATTTTCATGGGGGTCATTTTGTAAATATACTGAACATCATTGAAAACGCACCACTTATAAAAATTCAGATTATTAAAAGCACGTGTATTGATATTTTTTGTGTGGATAATAACAGATGGACGACTGACAAAAATAACAACACAGAAAAGACGCTCATTCATTGAAATGGTCCACAGTCAGAAAGGATCAAACACACGTCGGGTCAAATCGATAAGTCAATATCGCTTGTGACCGCCATTTGCATTGACACATGCAGTTCAACGCCTGGTCATTGAGTCAATAAGCGTCCGAATACAGTTCTCGAGTATGCATGGCATTCCACTTCTGCAGTAGTGCAGCCTCAAGTTCCCGGATGTTTCGCATCTGTTGTCGCCGCGAAAGACTTTGACCAATTTCGTCCCACAAGTGCTCCATGGGGGATACATCTGGCGACTGTGCTGGTCAATGAATAACCTAGATGTGTTGCTGGGCCAGATACTGCATGGAAAGTCTTGCTGTGTGTGCCCGTGCGTTGTCCTGTTGAAAAGTATGGACATCTTGGTGGTGATTGAAGAAAGATACGATGTGATTCTGAAGAATCTGCTCACGGTAATAAAGGGCATTGACTCTCCCTTGACAGACATGAAGGCAGTCCTGTGATTGTAATTTATTCCACCCCAGACCATGACACTCCCACCATCCAAAGGTGTGTCTGAACCACACACTCATCAGCATAATGTTCACCACGTCTACGCCAAACACGTAATCGGCCGACAGCATTACGTAGATGAAGACGTGACTCGTCAGTGACTACCACACCATGCCATTGTTGTAACCTTTACTGAAAATGCCTGCTAGCCCATTGTTTACGCTAATTACGTTGTCTGTCAGTCAGAATTGGTCCAACGTAAATTCTGTAGCGATGTGGACGTCGAGCACGTCGACCTTGAACTAGTAGCGTGTAGACGGCGTCTCATGAGCAGCCAGCGCTGATGACTCATGGAGCCAGCGCTGATGACCCCCTCGTCGACCTTGAACTAGTGCAGCAGTTCTGGCAGTCGGCAGTGTTCAATCACTGATATGGACAAGGTCAATATGAAGGTCACGGGTGCTGCCTGTCTACTGATGTCGTCTATGAAGCCTAACGATGGTGGAGTGGCCAAGTCCAAGTTGCCGAGCAATATCCCTGCTGTTGGTGCCAACCTGAATCATGCCTAGTGTACGTTCTCTCTCGTGAGGTGTTAACCTCGGCATCTCTGTCCTCGTTTCACAATCGTTAGTGAAGCAATGAGAACCGGTTCTCATACACCTGCTTTTAATGTCACAGTCAGCATGATTTCAGAATGAAATTCGCGGTTTTTTCATGGCGTGGCTGCATGTTGATGCATTTTGGAATTAAGAGTCATCTGTGGACAGGAATTTGTTTCTAAAGCATTTTTTTACTGGAAATGCCCTTCGACTTCATGTTAGTTATATTCATTGATCATTGTCATGCTGAAACCATCTTGATATGTACAATTTTAGACGGGTTCGTTTTCAGTGATGTTCAGTATATATCACTTTCTCCGACTTGATAAGTTATAATACACTGTTAAATCATGCAATATTATGGCCTGATAAAAATGTTCATCATGTAAGCAGCTTAATCAGGAAATCGTTATGCCGACAATATCTTATTCTCATCTAATCTTTTGATCTTTTGCTTATTTTCTACATTCCAATTTCGGGCTAGTAAATTATTTTGTTGGCCATGAGTAACTTTCAGGCAGAGCTAGCCCGACTGGCTATCAAAATTTGGAAACTATTTCGCACATTGCACTAAGGAAAGAGGGAGACACGATCATGTCTAGCGATGGCACGAGGGTGAGTTAGCCTTCGAATCATTACTTAACAAATGTAGAGTGTGAAAGTGGGAGTGCAAGTTCCAGGACAATTTCCATTAGCCCAAAATTTCTACATTCAACAATTTCAGCGTGTACTTTCGACGTTTTCGGTGTCCCGTTTTTGTGTGAAAAAAATATTAAATATGCAAAAGGAAAAACAACAAATGGTACTCATGCATTACACCGGACATCTGCCTACAATATTGGATTAAGTCCCTTACCTTAACCCCTAAACCCTAACTCTAACCCTAACCCTAACCCCTGGAAATAATCCTAATAAATATAACACATTGACCGAGGCACGAAAATGGTGGACGTGTCCAGCGTAATGAATTCTTCCCGCTCCGAAAAATATTATACTAATAAACTCATTTCTGTGTGATGATGCAAATTACTGACTGAAAAAATATATATGTATATTAGTTCACATGTATAATTCAATAAGTCCTAATAGTTAAGTTGAAACCGAAATAATTAATTAAATAATTAAATTGACCAAAACTGTGAATAATAGAATATGGCAGAATGTGACCAGTGTAATGCATTCTTACTAAATAGAACAAATACAAAATATAAAAATAAATATGAGCGTTTTAGTGAAAAAAAAAAAAATTAAACTGGTGTTTGCGGAAAATTGGGCATCCGCCGGTAAACAACTACTGGAAACTCTCAACATCGTTGGGCTTATGCAATGGCATAGCTATAGAGATGAAACATCAGTGAGCGGAGCTTATACGCATTCGCTGAGCTAGACAACCGTGTTGCTATGCCGGCGTCATAGGGCATTGTTTCCAGAACGTGCTTTGGAACAAAATCACATGAAATTACGTACACGGGTATTATGACACTTTTTAAAAGTTTGTGGAGCTCTATTCTAAATGTAGGTCCCATTCTCCATCAGGGTATTCAGCTGTAGTAAAACAGAAAGTTTTCTTTGGAGAAGATGTGGGCTAAGACAGTCTCCAAGACACCCACCCATTATGATTGCATAATCATTTGTATGTTTACTGGATGGGCTGAATTTTGGGAAGCAGTGGGTAATAGGGAACCTCCTCAAAGAATGGGAAACTGATTTGAGTCACCTCAGAAAGAGAAGCAAAGCTACCGATATTTGTTGTGTCTTTGAAGTTGTGTCCAAGGTGGCTTGGGGTCAACCTATAATTTGTGTTATAAGAGTGTGTTTTTGTAATTTGTAATATCACATTGATTAAGTGATAATTATTATGGGTTACAATGTTTAAAGTTTTGAGTGTGGGGTATGGCTCACATCTCGCATCATATATGTTCAATGACAATAGTATTTTTAGCGGTACGCCTTTTGAGATAGCGCTTCAGAATTACCTGCCCTTGGCAATCTTTTGTTTTGACTTCTGGCTTTCATCATGTCGTGTGTTCGAGAAAATCCTGCATCGTTCTGAGAGAATAATGATGGAGCCAAGCTTTGCTAGAATGATCGAGAACAGTGTAAGAGCTAGATAAAGGCTGCTTGTTGAGTAGTGCGATGGGACTTTTCACTTTTCACATCTGTCTGCCATCGTCGTGTTTCTCAACATTTCAAGACTGACCGTGCTTGCCTGCTGTCATTGTAACCAACCTTTAATCAGTATATTTGTTCTCACTGTGAATGTCAAGACTGTAGTAAGTTAATATTTTATATTTGTGACCCAATATTTTAGATTTATGACTCAACTGCATTGCACTAGAAATCTGTATTGTCATTCATTGTAGCTTGCTCATTGTTTGTTCAATATATTATTGAATATTTTAGACTTGTCTCTGTTCTATTTTGCTGGTTCAAAGGGGACTTTTAAACCTTTTGTCACGGCAAATTAGTAACCGTAACATTTGTCATAGTCATTCTGACATTGCCCCAAAAGGAGGGACTGCTTTGTACCTCAATTGAAACACGGAAAATACACCAGCACTACTGGTCGTGCATTTACAAACTACATGGGTGAGTGAGTACTGAGTTATCTGCCAAAGTGAGCACCTTGGCCTCCATGTACCATATTTGGCGTATTAAACGCCCCATGAACAGTGTCTAAACACTTAAGTAATCTTCGTAGGTCTTGTAAGCGTCTGGTGCTAAAAGCAAAACTTAACTGAACAATCACTAATTTGTAGGGGTGTAACGACACCGCAATACAGTATTGTATTACAATACAAGGCTCACAATACAGTAGTGTGAGTGAGTGAGTTTGTTTTACGCCACTTTTAGCAATATTCCAATATCACTGCAGGGGACACCAGAAATGTGCGTAACACATTGGCTTTAATCACTAGGCTACCATACCACCTAGTGTTGGGAATCGGAAACCAAATCCACTATCGATTATCGGAGGACTTGTGGTGAACGATTATCGATTATAATCGAAACAGATACATTTTTATTGTAATCACCAATTTTAAGTGTTTCCCCCAGGTTTTTTTCTAATTAATGTTTTTATAACTAATATTGCCATGCAATGAAATGCACACATGCAAGAAAGACACTTGAATTGTTATTAAACAATAAAAGTGGTTAAAATTTTACAATGCGCATAGCTTTACTCTGTTGAGCTCATATTTGTTCGTGAATATTCGTCAAATTTAATGGTTAGTTTACTTCATTCAAGTTTGTTATACTAAAACAGCAAAATTCTGATCAATCAAAAATGTGTTTTTTACAATCCTTCTTTCGATCGATTTTCGATTATTTTCGATCATCAGCGGAACACCACTACCAGCTCCCCATTAACTATATGGAAAAACATGGTACTACCACGAAAATACTTCCTTGTTTTAAGATATCGGTTCCATTCTTGGGGTGATAGTGCGCATATCCTGTTTGGGATCAGCCGACTGGTAGTAATTCCAGAACTACCCTAGATAAAGTTTGTGTTTTGAATCACATAGAATAACAGAAAACATAAAGAACACAAAGGATGATAATTTGTATAAGGGTAAAAACCAACCTGTGCCTGTTTGGGCGACTGCGAGTTCAAAGACAAGGCTGATAATGATGACCAGTTTCAACACATTCCCAAGGCTGAAATCAACATATGAAATTTTTCCATGACAATGATCACAAGATTATAACAGACAAAGCTCATTATACTTTCATTAGACTAAGTCATTTATGGTTCCCCATTCTAAGCTGATATTCAAAATCTTACACATACAAATCAATGATGTCATTTTTTCTGTTTACATTAATACAAGAGATATCTCATTGAACAACATTACAATCCTGTTTGATATCTTGGTATAATCATTATGCTTACGAGTGATTGTTATACCAATGTGGTTTCTGCTGGTCATTCAGGGGAATTAGCTCAGCAAAGAGTCTGAAGCCAAAAAAATCTATTTAAAATAGTGTTTACAAAAACAGAATAACATTGGGTTGCCACAGAGAGTCAGTACAACCCTCTTGGCTGAGGGCAAGAGCTAATCCGCTTTGGGGGTTTAAACCCTATTGGCTAGCTCCTGATGATGATGATGATTTGGAGATTTACCATGTGCTTTCCAACATAATGCGTATTTCGCGCATGGGCCCATCAGGCCATTTAGTGTTTGATCGAAAGAGGGATGAATTGTCTGCATTACAAGGGGGTATGCACATTAAATCAAACGAGAACAAGTAGGGTTGGTCTAAGTTAACGCTCTTCACGTACCGTACGTGCATTTGTTTCACTGTTCCAACTACGTTTACTGCGCTTACCCCCATGTAATACAAACCAATAATAGCGATTTAAATCTATGATCCTAAGTTGAATAAAATTCTGAGATTTAAATGTTCAATTGGCAGGATAAAATTATGAGGATTCGCAATCTTCATTTGACTTCATTTGATTTACTTTTTTGTTTAAAGTGAAATTCATCGGTACGTTTTCACTGCAAGCAGAATATAAAGGCCAGTTTTCATAAGAAATTTACCTAGGACTTGAAGGTTTGGGTTTCAATAAATGGGCTTTGGAGTGTTTGTAGTGTAAGGTGTGTCTGTGTGCCCAGTGAACTCTGCAGCACCATTCTGTGTTGTTGGTAGTGCATGCAGTGTAGTAATACATGTTTTGCGGTTTCTGTGTTTGTTGCAGTATGTGCATTTGTCTGTGATGTGTTTTAATATTTTATGTAAATGTGAGTTTATTTTTGTGTGACCTGTTTGTAGTTTGGTTATTGCACTGTCAATATTTTTAGATTTATGGTAGTTTTCTATTTTTGAGTGTTTTCTTGAGTAGATATTTTAGTTGAGAATTTGAATTTTGATTCAAAGTCAAACAGACCGAATGACGACATTGAAGGTGATGCCAAAGTGCCAAAACTGATTTTGGTTCAACACAATAATGCAATTTGGATACTTGTGACAAGGTCCCGAAAGACTATCTCTGCAAGGTACAACCTGCTCAAGTGTAAATGACAGGCCAACCCGGGTCAGGTGATCTTACTCCGAGGAAAGGATTGGCAGGCATTTACCTAAAGTGTTAGAGTTAGTTGTCGAAGTCATTTTAAAACATTCATGCATATTTATATTATTTGTTTGCACTCAACAAACTTAAGTCAAAATGTATTGTTTTTTATGGAAACCGATTTATCTCAGTATTTTCTACACTTCACAGTAACAAAATGGGGGCGCTACATCTATTTTAAAGGATTTTTAAAAGGTTAAACATAATGCATTGTTATCACATAGTGCCACATCTGCACCATCCATTTATGAAAAAAATCGTAAACACTATAAATATACACCAAAACTATTACCACTTTAGTGGTACACTCGTACATGCATATTTTTATTTTTAGCGGTTGACCGTATGTGAGTGTGAGGTCATACCAGAGAGTCCCTCAGTGTGTTGACATTTCTATAGTGTGTACGCCATCGAGTAGAAAGTGATACGAAGCGCAATATTTTGAATGGACCTTTTGTTGTTGTGATTACGTATTGGAAACTGACAACTGCACCCCGAGTTTTGAAGATTATCCTGTTGCATAAACAACACTGATGTACATTTCCTGATCTAAATTCCATTTGACAAGAAGAAAGACATGAATTGTTTACTGTCGTCATGCGGACATGATTGTGAACCCCTCCACGCACGGTAATTTGTGTTCGTTACACTTTTCGAAGACGTGCTATGAAAGAGATCTGGAACCTCTGGGGAAATATGGATACGAAGAGGCAAATCTTAAACTTTACAAGGATGCTATTTATAGGGCATTCCTTTCGACATTCCAAACAACAGGCCGACATGTCAACTTGGGATTGAAACTGGGAGAGTTGTATTCCGGTTGCAGGTGAGTTTTAATATGTAGTTGTTTTGTTGTTTTGTTTGTTTTTGGTTTTATGTTTTGTTTTGTTGTTTTTTTGGGGGTTGGGGGAGCAACATAAACAATCCATTAGCTAGCTTTATAAAGCACCTATCAAGCAATAGTTGATGTAAAAATGTGTTATCATTTGCACTCATGTCCTATTTTTGATCAACGATATATTTTCACAGCCACTGTTACTGCTGGGGCCAAGTCATCTATTTCCCCAGATTTGTTGTGCTGTGTGTGTGTGTGTGGAGGGACTGGGAGGGGTTGGGCATGGACAAATGAGAACTTGTAACAGGTGGGAAGAGTGAGCACATAATCATTAAAAATTAATACAAAATTAGTCATAATAGTTAATTATCCAGGGACTGGTCCCCTACCATGTTAAAATGCTATGTGAAATGGGGGTGGGATGGGTTAAGTCATGATTAAAAATAATAAATGTTGACTCTCCCTCCCAATCTCGCTTAAATACAATGTACAATAAAAAAAATGAAAATGAATGCTCAACACTGGCATAAAACTGAGGTATTTATGAACCCCTTGTACAAACATCATGGCAGCTAGTTATAGTTAAAGGTAATTTATTAACCCACTTTCAAAAATGGGAACTTAGGGAAATATGTTCATTCACATAATGTCTTTTTAGGGGGCAAATATAAAAATGCTACTTTAATGTTATATTTTTAGGATGTACATGGCAGCATTTCACAACAATGAAAGCAGCCTAAATGCCCAAGCAGTGACCAAGACTGGAGAGAACCCAAGTCGGCAATCAGCTACCCCAATACCAAGAAGGGGACATCCTCCATGCCCAAGCCAGTGAAGAGAGACCAACACTTGGTAAATATAAAACAATCAATTATTTTTGCCTCTTTGCTTCCTTTTGTTGAACTGATGCACTCCAGTTTGAAGAAACCCCACTGTTCCTATTACTGCATGTTTTTAACTAAAGAGTCTACACTTTTAATCCACATATCTATTTTCCCTCTGAGAATTTGTTAAGACAAAAGTACTTACTTTATTAGTGCAGATTTCAAAGAAAATTCTTATGGTTGCCAAAACAAAATATACTGAAATCGTGTCACAAAATGTCTCTAATTCAATGTAAAATTTATTCACAGAGTATGTCGAATTCTTACTCAGGGTCATTCTGGAGAGAAGAAACAGGTTTCCTTCCTACAGACTTGCAGGACACAACTGTCTACTTTTCCAGGATATTCTGCCAGACACTTTCATTAAACCTAGTAAACAGGAACTGTTGAATTCACTGACATCAAGATATACATATATATTATTTATATATAGGTGTCTAGGGTGTGAACTGAAATCAGTTGTGCCTGATGTCTTCAATTGTATTCTTATCTTTGAATCCAGCGCCTTGTTCAGATGGTAAATGTTTCCATTTTGCAGTCAACACACGTTATTGGAGAGCAATCTTGTTTTCTTAGGCTTCTGATGTAAAATCTCGCAAAAGTGGAAGGTTGTCTCCAGTAAGCCGCCCTCATAATAGCATCTTAAAGAGACTGAGGAGGCGAATGCCAGTGAGGCCGAGATAGCCCTTAAGTCGTGTGATTTCACACTACTAGTGGTCAGCAGGTAGGATTTACCGGCCTGATCATAGGCTACTCTGACAGTGCCCGTAATCCACTTTATAATAATAATAATAAGTATATTTCTAAAGCGCCAAAATTCCACTCCGGGGGCATGCTCATAGCGCATACAGAGAGTTCTAGTTGCAGTGATGTGATACTGAGAAAAGGTGAGTCTTGAGGTGAGATCTAAATAGAGTCAGAGTTGAACATGTTCGCAGATGGTCGGGCAATTCGTTCCATTTCGTGGCCGCTGCCACCTGGAAAGAACGGAAACCATGATTTCAGCTGCCAACGCGGAACATGCAGTAGGTCTCTGTGACTGGAGCGAAGTGGTCTACCGGGGATGTACGGCCTGAAGAGTTCCTGGAGGTACCCTGGAGCTGTTCTGTGAACACACTGATATGTCAAAGTCAGTATCTTGAAATCAACTCTCCCTCGGATTGGTAACCAATGTAGGCGTTTCAGGACAGGAGTAATACTTGCAAATTTAGGGGTTTTGGTGAGACTGCGTGCTGCAGTATTCTGAATTCTCTGGAGTCGATTAATGAGTTCCTGTGAGATATGGAGCAGAAGACTGTTGCAGTAGTCAATACGGGAAAGTATCAGAGATCGAACAAGTGCTGCAGTAGAATCCTCAGTCAGAAGATGGTGGATACTGCCAATAGTTAGGATGTGGTAGTAACAAGATTTACATAACTCTGAGACTTGCTTCTCCATCGACAGATCACATTAAAGTAGACCCGATCTTTGACTGTTGATGAGAGGGCAATGGGCATGTCACCAATGTGAAGAAAAGCAGCATTGATCTTCGAGGATGGGCCGACTAACATCACCTCTGTCTTGTCCTCATTTAGCTTGAGGAGATTGGTGTTCATCCAAGCCTTGACAGATGCACAGCAATTCTCCATTTTCGTCAGTGGAGAGTTGGTGTTCAACTTGAAGCGTCATCTGTGTGTCATCTGCATATAGATGATGTAGGACATTGTGGCTCTGGATTACCTCCTCCAACACGGTTGGCAGGCAGACTGCAATGGTGTCGCTGGGTGTAACAGCATGGTCTGAGACAGGAAGTCTTGTGCTAACCATTGACTAATGGACGAGTTGAACCACGTCCCGAGGGGAACGTGTGTGTCCCAGCTCAGATGGTCCCACTTGGAGGCTAGCATCAGCTGTAGCTCTCTTTCTGCCAGTTTCGCCCAGGGCAGAATTCTTGAAAATGATTCCATCTTACCTAGGAGAGAGTGAATCTCTCTCGGCGTGGCAAAAGTCTTCTTGCACAACCTGTGTGCTAGCGTGACAAAGGTGGGAGATACAGTGGCTTCCACTAGGTCGAATTTCACCCCGAGAAAATTAAATTTCTGAGAAGGGACCAGTTCCAGCTTCTCAAAGTTTATTACGATCCCTTGTTTCACAAAAAGTTCCTGAATCTGTTGACCACAGAGACCTGGCAGGACTCAGGGAATCGTCCAGGTAAGCATCGAACCGGCGAGAGAACCTTGCTAACACTGCTTTCAAAACTTGGGTGAACACGTAGGGGGCTGTGGCTAGTCCGAATGGGAGAGCATGGAACTCGTACATGCAATCCTCAAACACAAACTGGAGGTTTATCCTTGACGTTTTGTGAATAGAAATGTGAAGATAGGCGTCTTTTATGTTTATCGAAATAGCCCAGTCGCCTTGATTTAGAAAGGTTATTGTGGAAATGAGAGTTTCGAACGCCTCTACTAGTGTGTACTTGTTCAGGTGAGACAGTTCTAATACTGGCCTCTAGTCTCCATTTCTTTTCTTTTCCTTTGGGGACTAGGAACAGTCAGGAGTAAAATCCCGGCCCAGGATTCAGGAGGGGAAGGCACAGTCCGCCCCCGTGTCCTTAGGTAGGACCAGAAAGGTCCCACCGAGGAGCCAGAAGAGATGCGAGATCATCCCAAAAGAGAGGCGGCACATCTCCTCCCAGCTCCTCAGATTTTCCGAAGCTATCAGCAGTTTTGCTGGATTCGCCGTTGGAAACCGTGAGAGGAACTTGGGGGGCATGGGGGAGCTGCCAGCGAAAATGGCTCTGACCCGTGCAGGGCAAAGGAAGGATATGTGCTGGGACCGTAAATCCAAGGGGATTTACGGGTCGTCACTTTACCTGTCTTCATGGACCTACCGTCCTCCGGCAGGTATGAATTTCTCAATCCTCGAATCAGGTCATTCAGCTCCAACCACACCTCATCCAGGTCCCTAGAGAAGGACGTAGGCACATGCGTTCCCTGACTCATCTGCGAGGAAGTCAGGAAAGGCGTGGCCTCCTGCTGTGGGGGGTCCAAGTTCGCAAATGATTTGCTGTCCGGTCGCACCAACCGGAGGAAATCCTTCAGGGGAAGTATGGACTCGGTGACGGAATAATCCCCCATTGCGCTCCCCTCTCCCAGTTCCGAGGAAGTGGATAGACCCCTAGGGACAGTCGGGTTAGACCTGGTGGGACCTGACCGCCTGGACAGTAGAGGAGGGTCCTACCCTAGGGTGGGACTCCTTTACATACAGGATGCATGAGTCTACGGCCCTAGGACGATGCCCGTTCCCTTGGGATGATCCTACCGGGAAGAGCCTGCACGGATGCTAGGGCCTGCATGGTCGCAGCACCCAAGGCCCGTCCAGCGACGCGACCAGGGTCGGGTTTGGGTCCCTTGGAACTGAGGGGGCCGGGGAGAAGCTTCCTGTGGTCGCTACCCCAGTAGACACGTTCTGCTGTCCCCGTGAGTAGGGGGACCGCGTAGATGACAGGTCCTGCTCCAGAAGTAAACTTTGCCTCTGGATGGCCTGCCACATCTCTGCGGGAGCAGGAGTACTCTGGCCGGGACCCACAGGAGGGCCGGACGGGACGTGACCCATAGCAAGGTCGGCCCATACGACTGAATGATCAGTGTCCCGTTGGGACAACCCGACCCCAATCCCGTCGGTCCCATAGGGACATTCGGGCTCCATCGTCATTTCTGTCTGGGCCGTCGACTCCAGACGCAGGGAGTCTGCCAAAAATGAGCTTTTTCTCAGTGGTAAGAAGCGATTTTATTGGTTTCTAATGACGCTTTATTTGCCTCAATCCGTGACCTACAAGAAGACTCGTACCTGTATAGTAAGCCATTATTGCCAAAAAATCGTGGCAATCCAATAACATTAAAGGTAATACAATGTGAAATGAGTCAAATACAGTTGGGACCAATTCCTGTTATTCCGGGACAAGCCGAATAGCGTAGGTCACGGAAGGAGGCGAGTAGTTATGAATGGAGTCACATACTTTCTTTGCGATTATCGATTTTCATTATTAGTTCCATGATCATAAAATTCTCTTTTTACTGATATTTGGTAATGACATAAGAAACTTACTAAAAGGTGACTTTCTAGGGGTAGCCATGTTTGGAGTTATCTTTTGGAGTAATCTTTCTTTGGAAATATATTTTCATCTCCGTGCCGGTTTGCGCTTATACATTATTTTTATGTCCGTGCCCGTTTGGCCTTATACAATGCCAAGTCGTGAACATGGCCATGGGAGAGGTATGAGTCGCCATCCGGCTTGCCGGAATGACACGAGTAGTTTCGAATGTCTGCTATAAGACTCGTGATTTGTCAAAATCATGCACGTGAGCTAAGGCAACCAATATTATTACAGCAATGGATACGTCCTCATAACCGAAAACTTTAGATTTAGACAAAAGTTTGGGGTAAAATCATTCTATTTATATTCTGAACAGGTTATGCACAAAATCACCACCTTATGAAACTTAGTTATATCGTGCTAGGTTATGACCTGTGACAAAAATACTACAAAAAAGTATATATTTTAGAATTAACAATCGTGTCCGAACGTGAAGTTCGAGGCGACAAAAGCCTGTGGTGTTGAATTGGTTAACTAAGGTAATGAAATTACTGTTTTCCGTTCATTTGAAATAATGCCACTGGCTACTGTCAGGACAGATGTGACATTTGACCACTTTCTAAATGGCATTGTGTAATCATGTGATTGACCAATATACATTCTCAAAACTATCAATGTATAATGATATAAAGGAAATACAAATCTTATTACTATTTTTAACTACATCATGAAAATGGTCACAGAAATTGCCGATCATATCGGAAGAACCGGTTCGCGAAAAGTGTACCTCAATATATCATATTGCGAAGTTTGAATTGCAATATACCGGTTAGCTGGTGTTATTGCCCAACCCTACCTGTGTCATGATGGGTATTTGTGTTTCGAGCATATCATGTATCACCTGTGAAACATATTGGAACTCAGCATTAAATGCTGAACACCTATTTAACAAAAGCAAAAACATTGGTAACTGATTGATTATCATCATTTGATGTGGAATGAACACAAACATTTTCACTGTAAAAACCATGAGTAGCATGAAAAAAAACACCCAGCAAATTATTGGATGAAATGTGAACTGTTAAATCACTTTAAGTGATGAACAATGGATCCTGAAACGGTTTAGAGAAACACAAACAAGTTCTCAAAGCAGTCATGAATCACGTAGAGATTCTTTCTCTCACTGAAACAGGCGCTTTGGATCAATCACAAGCAGTCTATTTGTGGACATTTACACCTTTAAACAATGTCCTGAAATGGAAGATGATGATGATGATAATGATGATGATGAGTGAGTGAGTTAATACTTAACGTCACATCGGCAATATTTAAGCCATATCGGGACAAAAATAATTTATACAATACAAAAATGAAAACATTGTGAAGAGTTAAACCTGTCGACGATTGACAGTAAAAATCCTAGAGTATCACAGAAATGAACATAAAACTAGCATGTAAAACTAAAACATTCCAATTAAAGAAGACAATACAATATAAAGCACGGGCTATAGGTCGCCAGCATCTGAAGGTTGATCACCATACAAGGAACCATGGGGACTTACATTACTTTTGCTACCTGCATGGAGCTGATGACAAATCACAATGGCGTCAGCGCCGGCGAAACATACGTGATTGCGAACGTTGTTGATGAAATCTTGTGATACTTTGGTATCCGTCGTTTGTGAATGTTATTTAAAGTTATACGTATGTGATTTGAATATATTTTAGCTGGCAGATTGCAATAGACCGATCCAGTCTGTCAATCAAAACTGGCGCATGCGTCAAATTTGGCCAATCAGCAGGCCGGGCGCGCTGTGTGGATTTGTCGGACTTATTTCCGGGGTCAAACGATGCCTCCGAAGCGATGTGCTTCAAATTATGCCATTTACACTCGCTATATTTATTACATATTGCTGCGATTTGATGTGTACCTTTAACAAACCATTACGGTCAAGACAACAAAAATGGAGGCGGATCAAGAAACGCGATAGGCCTAACGATCAGTTAAATGTCTGCACCATCGTTCAGGGAAACCTACGTCTGCCTGTTGATGAGAAGTTGCACGAATTTCCACACACTTTGCACATGTGCAAAATCATTACCAATTGATGACAACAAAAAAGCAGTTTAAGACTTTGCAAGTGTTATAAACACGGACAATTCTCGTAACTACAAAATTGTTTTTGCTTAACGTGTTTAGTCACTACTAGGCATTGAGTTGGTACGCCATAATGCTCAAATGAGACATGCGAGAAAGCTGTGACACAATGTAAACAAATCTCCATTTCGGTTACGGTCAACCGAAATAGCAAAACTTGTTACATGAAAAGAACAATGTGGCGGATATTGTCCCTTCGCTCTT